GTTGAAGCCGCCTGCAGCAGCAGCTTATCCACACCATTCGCTCACCAAGGTGGAAATGCCAGCGTGCACTCATATTCTTTTTTTTTTTTTTTTCATCTGAAAAGTTAATGAGCCATAGTGCTGCCGAAAGTGTACTGCACCAGCCATACACTTTCAACAGGCCATAACCGAAATGTGAATTTGTTCTTTGCCTCCTCTGTAAGCTCAGTTATATTGCCACCAGGTCATTACACTCCCCGCTATACCTGAAAGGGGGACGAGGGTCTTAAATAGCACAAAATTGTAAAAAATGCTGACTTTTGAAAATTGCGATTTGAGGTATTTATAGTCGAAAGTAAGTTTTGGAAAAATTTTATATTATGGCAAAGTACTATTTCTTTTTGTTAAAAGCTTGATATGTAAAATTACAAATATTTTTTAAACTGGAAACAATTTTCTTGGCATTGTTATTTTTGCGAAGTGAATCTGCCTTACAGAAATTTTGAGCAAGTTTTTGTGAAGATATCTAAACAAACTTCGTACCATTCTTTCCCGTAGCACTTTAACTACAGGCTAAAGCTTCTTTTTTCAACCTTGATAGAAATGTTATTACTTATTATATGATAAATACCAGCTAATTACTGGAAGCTTGTTTTCATTTTCCAAGTTTAAAGTTATTTATGATTAAAGAAATAGCCATTTTGACATCTAGTTTCTTTAGCCAGTGGGATGAACCTTTTAGATGAAATATGTAGTTTTGAAAACTAACTTTTTTTATTGCGAGTTACCATAATGACCCATAAGAAAGTGCCTAATTATAATGCAGAAATGTCATTACTTTTTTTCTAAAAGATATTTGAAATCTGTTAGCAGATATGAAATCTCCTTTTAATAGTATGCATGCATAGTAATTTTCATGACAGTAAGATAATAAATAAAAAAACTTGTTTTTTTTAAGACCCTCGTCCCCCCTGAAGTCACTTCCACCACGACTATGGTGACACACTTCCCATATCTTAAGGACGCGCATGTGGCATTGTGCCGTTGGAAGCATACTGCACGGTTTTAGCAGACAGTGACAGAAATGTCTTTCTTTGCCACCTTTTTCATTCAGAGTGGTTTGAGCGTGCATTGTTTGCTGAAGTCAAAGCAGCCAACTGTCACCATGCTGGTTCAACAACCTAAGTCATTGTGCTCAAGCACTGCTCGCACAGCCAGCAGTGGCCTAGAGAACAGCTCACTCCTTCACTGCGCACCATCATTCCGTGTCATTCCAAAGCCATTTTGAAGGAATACACACAGATAATCGCATAGGCAACTAGCACATCTTGTTTTAAAAATTATGCAGTGGGTGGGGCGAGAGAAGAAAGCTTTTCATGACGGCATTGTGTTGAGTGCTCATGCTTACAGAGTGAACTTGTGTAGATTCAGGCGCATAACACTATAGGCTTTTGTCAATAAGAAAATGGTAACTTCAATTCATACTCCAACAGAACGAATATTTTCCACTCACACACTATGCTTAAGATTACGTGGATAACTGTGTAGGCTAATAAAACTATTACACGGCAAAGCTTTCAACCAGATGCAATATTCTCAGTCTAAGTCAGCATTCAGTTTTTTTTATACAAATTTCTTGTTCTGGGCGCTTTTGTCCTTGATATTAGATGAGTACTCAGAACATCATACACATGTGAATGCTTTTTTTGCAGATGTGCTTAAAGGGGTCCCAAACCACCAAACCACTTTTCCGAGTAATGATTGATTGAGCTAAGTATCAGAAGAGCTATTTGGGCTAGTTGGTTGAATTCCATGTTAATAGGGGTTGCAGCGCAAGCACGAAAGTGCTGAAAGAAAAGCGTAGCGGAATGCGAGGAACGGAACACTCGTGTTGTCCCTCTTTGCCTTCTGTTTCTCACCTTCCATTATGCTTTTCTTTCAGCCCTTTTGTACTTGGGCCGCAACCCCTATTACTTAGTATCAGTATCGCCTCACAAATTGACTGCTGCAAGAATTTTTTAAATCCATCAAGTATGGGTGGAGTTACAAGGATTGGTCGTATGCTTCAGGCATTTTCTCTCTTGTCTTGATGCGCAAGCTGGAAGCTACACAGGGATGGATGAGAAGCTAGATCATGCATGTCCTGGCTGAGCCCACCACGAAATGTGGTCACCTGGTGTTATTTGCAGACTAGTGCACATAACACCCGTGTGAATACCGAGTCATTTTAGCACACTACAGAGCACAGCACCTGGCATGTGGTGGCACCATGTGGCAAGAAGGGCATCTGATTTACACCCCTCTTAATTTATGTCAGCTATGTCACCAAATTTCAAAGCACAATGTACTTTACAACTTGTAACTTTCACCTTACTGCTATTCAAATTTTGCTACTATTGAAAGCAGGTGCCACTTCATCTCAAACCAAAGTGACTTTACATATGCCTAGTTCGAATTCTTTAAAGTACCGTAAAAGCTCGTTAATTTAAACCTACCATTAATTCAAACTGTCCTTCTTGTCCTGGCACAGCCCTGTGTACTTTTATAGGGGGGGGGGGGGGGGGGGTGGACTCCCGATGATTCGCACGCATCAGTATCCAAAACGGCCAATTCAAACTTAATGCCCCTGGTTTTCATGGCTGCTCACAGAAATGAGCCCCCAGTGATCATAATTTGCAACACAATCAAAGCAAATTTGCTTGAGATGCAAAACAACTAAACAGCAGCATTTCTCAGCACAAGAGGATTTGGGCATTGTACTGGTGCTCTTTGGCTAGCTGCAAATGATACTCATGGGGTCATGACAGAACTGCAAGCAAATTACAATTACATTATTTTTCTGGCTGATTGCATTGCCTCTGCCATGTAATGAACATGTTTTGGAGGATAAACAGGGCCATGCATGTTTATTGTAATATATTTTGACATAAACAGCTCACTCCTTACATCAGTGCTTCTTCTTGGCATATCAGTGACTGATCAATTTATTTATATCTGCTGCTGGAGCTCTATGAACGTAATCTACGAAATCACCTGCGACAAAGAAAGCAGCACCTAAGTTGCGACAACTAGCCTAGGGGTGGCTACTGTGGGTTCTGCCCACGTAGTGTGGCACGATGTTCGTTCATTGTAGTGCCATCCGCAAATTCAAACTTCACTTTAATTTGAATAATTTTATAAACCCCTTCTAGTTCGAATTAACAAACATTTACTGTATCGTGAAATTCAGTTGATGACAGAAAAGATCATTTTTCTTTATGTTATATACATGCTATTGGAGCTATTTGATTTGAAATTATTTGATTAAATCACTATTCGTTTAGGCTCAATTTGCCCATACCTGAAAACCAATGTTCTCATTCTTACTCTTCAGCATATCCTAGGTGACCCAGTATTATTTATAACAAGCACAGAATGCAAATGCACCATAGTGCCCCACGTGTTATTTTTATGTGCTCGGTTTAAACCGAAAGATATTGTAAGCAATACTCGGCACAGATCATGTCTGAGAGTTCGAAAAGCTTCACGTTTATAGCAGATCATTTTGTTAAGGTTGAGCAGCGGACGTAAGAGTGTTCAAGAGATTGCGTGACCACCAGTGATATGGCTCGAAAGGTCAACTCGTAATGTATAAAAGAGGGTGCGTCCCAAAGATGATTATTTTTGTCGATGACCAACAATCTGTGCGCTGATATCTGTGCACAGCATGTATTGCTTGCTGTAATTTGAGTTTGCATTTTACGGTCACAGGTTCAGCCAAATAAGGAGTTTCACCTTGAAGATGCTGACTGCTCCGTTTGCCCACATTACTACCCAATGAAAATATGGAAGAAACATGAAGCCTCACTTCACCCTTGCGTGAAAATCAAGCAAGCATGTGCTGGAGAAAGCCGGAGATAGTGTTGTACACGAATGTTTGGGCTTGATGAGTTCAGCTTGTTTTCTATCCCTAAAGGGTTAAACTGCAGTGACAAGATGTAACATGAGAAAGCTACAAGTGCCAAAAGAAAATATAGAAGAGAAATAGGAATAGCAGCTTTTCCTGTATACTGAACGTGTTAAAATTCGTTCCCATGATTAGCTGGACATGCTTGAACACATACCCATGTTTTACGGTTAGCCATACTGTTAATGAACCTGTTCACAGCAGTTCATAAACTTCAACATAACTACAGCAATAGCTAATGAACGGCATTAAATCGCATATTCTAGTGTTTTGCCAAAAACACATTGCTCGCACAAAGTTCACACACAAGCAGTATATTAGTCATTCAGTAAGGAAACAAATACCATAAGTACCGAGCAAACTTAACACAGGCAAATTTTAGACACAACAAGCACAGAACAAAACACAACCCCATTCACAGCAACCAGAGCAAGGATGAAGGGTAATAATGCACTAATTGAACTTTTTAAGTCATAATCTCGGGGGGTGGAAGTACTAAGCACGACACATCAACTGACAACAGAAAACTTACTCTTGCCGTTACGAGAAGCCTGAAAAATGAACAAACTTGCGAATATGAAAGAGATGTTGCGACACGGAATCGCAGTTTCAGCACTAGATTGGGGCTACTAAGTCGTACATTTTCATGGAATTTCCTCCCCTTACATATGCTGCAACATCGGTTTAATTCGTGAATCACCAGTTGAAATGCCGATTAAAACTTCCAACGAAATTGCTAGCAAAGTCACAAGCATAATTTTTTTTGCAACTGCTCCCAGTCTTTTCGGGCTATTTTTTCTTCGGGCCAATTTATTCATATTGAATGCGAATATGTAGGACAAACATGAAACAAAGAAAGTATGAAATAAGAGATGAAACCCAAATCGGGTAAACAACGGCCAGCACTGGCTGTTAAATTTTGATTAATCTTGTTTGCACTGCATAGTTCCGTATCAGAGGTACCCATGGTTTCCACTGCATGCTTAGTTTCTTTCCAAAATGTGAGTGGCATTCTGCTGTGCTTGTTTTGCCTACTATGCCTAGTCCTGCATAAGAAATAGTTGTGGTAGGGCACCTGCATAGCCACGTTACGTGTTGGTCGCCGGTCCTTGATTGCAGTCGTCCCTTTAACGCCCCTCTTCTCTGGCTCCCCAGCCTTGACTGTGTGGCCATCAGTCTCCAGCTTGAAACGCACTTCTGAGACACTCTTCTCTGATAGTAAAGATACCAATTACACTGGTAAGAAAGGGTATGAGTTAAAAAAAATACTTCAGATTTTTTGATGTTGTTGTTTTCCCACTCTGTAATGCTTCAACAAAACTGAGCACCAAAGTAAGACAAAAAACCTTTCACTTTTATTTGGCATAGAGCGTGCATTAGTATTTAAAGGGGGGGGGGGGGGGGGGGGGTGAAGTACTAAAATGTTACTTCAGTAAAAACTAAGAGCATTACCATTCTGTAACAGCTTTTCTGAACAATACTTACAGATGAGAGTTTGTTCCAGTGCAACAAAATTCACCACCATGTCACGCATTAGGTTATGTAAAATATTTTGAGGCATCAAAAATGTAGCAAATAGCATAGTACAATTGATACACTCAGCAACAGTGCCACATTGTTAATGCAGTCAAACCTCAGCATAATGAAGATATACAGTCGAATCTCATTAATTCAAACTCGTTTAATTCAAACTTTCAGTTAATTCGAACTCACGGTGAGGTCCCGTCAAAGCTAAGTGTATTCCAATGGGCGAAAACGCCCGGTAAATCGAACGCATAAGCACTTGCGACGTATAATTCGAACATACCGCACTCCCAAAATGCTCTCAGCACCCGCCCAATCCCGCAGCGGGACCTGTAACACCTCAATGATGCGCGCGAAGAAAAGGAAAAGGGAAGAAAAGGCTGCGGTAAAATGTTTGCTCTCTCTCAAATGCCGATCTCCGACGCACCTGCGTCACGCTTCTCCCTTTTCCGTCCCCGCCATGTAAAGACCCTTCTCCTTCCAATTCCACGCGCGAAAAGAGGGAGAAAAAAAAAAGCTGTCGCGGGGTCGAATGAATGTGTGGTTGAAGGAAACAGGCACACTATCTTTTGCAGCCCTTGCCCCTTGCGGGAGCACAGCTCTGCGCGTTGAGGGGGGGGTCTCTGACGCGCCGGTGCCACGCTTCCCCCTTTCCTGTCCCTGCCACGTAACCCTTCTCCTTTCAACGACGTGCGCGAAGACTGGATTTCGTGCCTACCGGTTGTGCCCCCCTGATCTCCGACGACAGCGCAGCTCTGGCCGACTGGCTCCCCCTACGCCATCTCCTGCCGCCGACAAGAGCTCTCGCTGAGTGGTGCCCCGTCACAGAGGAAGGAAAGCGACCGTATCCATCTTTCCTATCTCCTCCTTACTTCCGTCATTTTCTGTCGTTCACTGTCCCCGCGCTTCGCTCTCTCCTTCCTCTCTCTATCTATTTACCTTTTAATCCTATCCTTTTAATCCCTCCTAAACCCCATCCCTCGTGAGCTACTGTTGAGGTGTCGCACTCTGATGCAGACAGTTACGGGGCACACTTTTCTCTTCTTTTCTCCTTAAGAATCACATCAGAAAAAAAAAAAAAAAAAAGCTGCCGTGGAGTGTTGGTTTTCTCTCAAATGTAGATCTGCTTCTCTCAGTCTCTCTGCGTGGAGACGCTCCTCCTTTCTCGTCACGTGCTGACCATGCTGCGGCTCCGCTACACAGTCGTTGTTGTCCATCTTTAGAGAGTATCGGCGCTGGACATTTCCGCGCGCAACTTCTCTTGCCAGGAGAATGCTAAAGCGGAAGTAGAAATGCTTTGCAAGCTGCGTGCGAAACAGATTGATTAGCTGCAAGACAAACGTGTGTAGTCATGTATCACCACTAATTACTTCAATTAATGACGGATGTCCTGTGATTTGTGAATAAATGTAAGTCTTCTGAAACTTCCCCCTCGTGTGTTAGCTCAATGCACATGCGCCACTGCATGGAGAGCCCTCTGTTTATTTAGCTTTCATTAATTCGAACTTCTTTTAATTCAAACAAATTTTCGGGCCCCTTCGAGTTCCAATTATCGAGATTCGACTGTATAACAAATTACAGGATATGACGAGGTGACTTGAAGTCATCAAACAAGAGAATGTCACTGTGAGTCCCCTGCTTCGAATGTTGCCTCCATTGATATTCTTGGTTAGACAACTTCCCATCACTAAAAGTTTTTATCTTCCCTTGAACTTTTGCCCAGCTGGGAATACAATATGGTGCATACAAAATTGTTACTGCCAACATCAGTGTGAAACGGATACTTGCTTATTATGAATACCGTATTTTTGCGGGTATAACCCGCCCCTGCATATAATCCGCACCCTCACTTTCAGCTCACCGAGAAAGAAAGAAAAAACCTCGCGTATTGCCCGCACATTTGATATACAGGAAAGGCTGTACAAAAGCTTCTGCTCAAGCAACATAGCACATATGTAGACAGAAAAAGCTTTATTTAGCAAGCAGAATACGCTGTCTGCAAGGCCAGTCACAATTCACTCACTGTCGCTGTTCTTGCTAGAGCTATCACTTGAGCCGCAGTCCTCACTATTATGCACAAGGTCATCTTCGGTTCCATCCATGTTGTTTGTGATGCAGCATTTCTTGAAACTTTTTTGCACCATCTCACCTGGAATGGCCTTCCATGCCTCGACAATCTACTTGCAGAATAGGGCAATATCAGGCCTTCGGACTCGTCCTGTCGGCGTCAAGTCGTAGCAGCCTTTGGCCATCCACTCGGTGTAATAGCGTTGACATGCACTTTGAAGGGCTTGTTAAGCGACACATCTAGAGGCTGCAACATTGACGTCATTCCACCGGGTATAACAACTAAGTCGGTGCCGCTGCGTGAAAGGCAGTCCTTCACTTCCTCAGTTGTGTGGCCGCGGAACGAATCAAGAACGAGCATGGACCTCTTTGCGAGCATCGCGCAGGGCCTCTTCTCCCATACCGTCTTGATCCAGTCTACGAACAAGTCACTGTTCATCCACGCGTTCTCGTGTGCGTGCACCACCACACCGGCAGGCAAATGAACCTTTGGTAGAGTTTTCTTTTTCAAGATGACGTACGGTCGCAGTTGCGTGCCGTCGGCGAGGGCACAAAGCAAGACTGTGGTGCGCAGTTTCGTGTTCCCGCCGGTCAGCACGCTCACCGAACTGTTGCCCGTCTTCTCAATCGTTGTGTCTAACGGCATTTCAACATAAACAGGAGTTTCATCCGCATTGCCGATTTGCGAGAAAATGTAATTGTGCTGCTTTCGCAGGCCAATTAAATATCTCTGGTACTTGAGCAGCTTCTCCTCATAAGAAGCCGGCAAGCGTTGACATATTGTAGTCCGCCGTCTGATTGAGAGCCCCTGCCGCTTCATAAAGCGGTGCAGCCATCCGCGGCTTGCACGGAACTCGTGAGGTAGGCCTAGCTCCCTCGAAAGTCGCCGCGCTTCCACTTGGGCCATCTCGGTCGATACGGTGTGACCCCTGCTTCTCACATCGATGAACTTTACTAGCTCCACCTCCAGCTCAGGGTAGGCACCGGTCTTGGGGCCACGAAATGACCTACGGTCGCGGTGTGCGGCTTGTAGGCTCTCTTTCTTCTTTCTCCACAGTGGCACGCAGGACTCGTTCACATTGTGCCGTCTTCCCGCTTCGCGATTTCCGAATTCCTCGGCGATGGCGATGATCTTAAGCGTTTGCTGTGCCGTGAAGGCCTGCCGCCGTACGCTACTCATGGTGACAGAACAGATCGACTTAGGCTTGGCGAACGGGTCGAGATGTGGAGAACTAGCGGTATCAGCGAGGTAAAGAGCGCTCACACTCGGCGACAACTTGACAGCACTACCCCTTCTAGTACACTGTAACAGCACCCTGGAAACAACAGAACAGAAATGCATGCCTGCTACCGCGTCAAAAAGTAGTACATTAATTTACTGATAATATCTCTCTCTCTATAGGCACTATAATATCTCATTTGCCTTGCTGAAATAAATACTGCTTTATTTTATTATGGAACTTACTTTATTTATTATGGAACTTTCTTAGACAGCACCACCTTTTCGGCAAGCCCTTTCCAAAAGTAAACATGGCGTCTGTGACGTAGGGACATGTGGAGGGTCACTGAGCGGCCGCGAACGTCCAAAAAATATACTTGTGGTGTGACAGTGAGATTTTACACTGAACAATCGAATTGTCTCTCCCCAAATGTTTTTCTAAACGCTTCAACGATGCAAGCAAGCGTAACCAAAATCGGCCGCAAGCTGCCGTGCTACTTGCGGAGCAACACGAATTTGCGGAAACCGCCTCCGTAGCCTTCGCTACACTGTTAGGGGCTTCACAGCACAACACGCATTGCTGTGAAGCAGCACTATAGGAAAAACCCCGCGTATTATCCGCATTTCCACTTTGCCACTAAAATTTTTGGGTTTTTGGTGCGGGTTATACGCGCGAAAATACCGTATCAAATATAATAATGAGTGTATTTTTGTGTCAGCTGCATTTTATTACGTTGGACTCGCAAATGGAAAAGCAGCTAATCGAAGGCTTTTCAGAAAGAAATAAGGCATTTCTTGGACACAAGTTATTAAAAGTGAACCAGTGCTGGTTAATGCTATGCAGAGAATTCAGAAAAGCCTTTTTCTGCCAGAGCACAAGATGAGTCAAAATGACTTAGGAAGATGTCTAAGGGTAACTCACAAGAATGGAAGCTTGGGCTAGTTGGTGCGTATTCATATTTGCAAGGTGTTTCAGCGCGCGAACAAAGGAAAAAAGGACAGGGTAGACAGAAAGAGCGCTGACTTCCAACTAACTTTATTTCACAGAGTGGCAAGAATTTATACGTCTAAAAAGGAAGATTACAGAGCATGAAGGTAAAAAACAAGCCTAATCTACACACCAGTAACAGCACGTGTGACAGGTCCTCTAATGCCTCAAAGCCCAGCCAGGTAATCACGTTCAGCCTGTGATAAAGTAACCGATGAAGTGCTTACGCATTTATCTCCTAGCACGTGTATTTTTTTGGCTTCGATAATTTCTTGGGTAAGCTGGTCCCTGTGCCTTGCCAATATAGAGCACTGATCAAAGAGGGGGGTGCACCCACAATCTCGGCAATGAATGCCAAGATGCCCTTGTACCACATTGCGCACATTGTTTCGGTGTTCTCGCGGGCAGTCGTTTATGCACCTGCCGGTTTGGCCGACATAGACGCACCCACACGTCAGTGGAATCACGTATACGACTTCCACTGCGCATGGGACGTAGCATGTCCTGTGCGCGACAGAGCACGCGGCAGAATTTGCGCGAGGTGTATTGATTCGTTTGCAAAGCTTCTGCAATTTTTCCAGCGCTGAAAAAACAACAAGAACGTTGGCGTCTCGAGCAATCTTTTTTAGCCTGTGTGAGACGTCGTGCATGTACGGTAGTACGACAGGCCGGCTCTTTCTGACGCTGTTGCACTTATCTGGTTTGTTGCCTCGCTTCATGACAGTGACCAGCTTTTCCGCCACTGAAATAAGAACGTGTGCGGGGTAACCGGCTTTGGTGAGGCGCTCCACTTGCAGAGCAAAGTTGCGGTGTACCATGTGGGGGTAAGACTTCTTTAAGGCGTTGGCAAGGCAGAGGTTAGCAATGCCCCGCTTGACCAATTTAGAGTGAGCTGAGCCGAAAGGCAGAAGTGGCTTGCTGCTTCTTGGTTCATACATCCAGCAAACATGTTGGGGTTCTAGCAAAAGCTTCAAATCTAGAAATTTCAGGTTGTTATCAGTGGGTGATTCATACGTTAGAACTAATGCTTTCCGGCACTCTCCGAAAACAGTCAACACGTCAGAGAAAATGGTCTGAAAATTTTGACAGTCACATTTCAACAACACTAAATAATCATCAACAAAACGGCAGACTTTAAAAACCACAGAGTCATCAAGTTTGTTTGACAAGACATGATCATGATGTGCTAGAAATATGTCACTGAGAATGGGTGCCAAGCATGAACCAATACAAACTCCACTTTTTTGTAAGTAGTTTTTGTCATCCCATGATACAGAAGTGGCCTTCAAATAGAAGCTGAGTAACTCTAATAAGCTGCTGTTATGAATTCCAGTGCGCGTTTGGAACGCTGATGATCCGAAGTTGTCTATGGATTCCTCTACACATTTTAGTAGTTGATCATGCGGCAAAGAGTAATACAAGTCCTTAATATCCACAGACATTGCCTGGAGTCCTGTGTTAGTTCGCCCAATAATGTCAATAACAGCGTCAGAGTTTTTGACCAAAAAAGGGTCGTCTATTGTTAAATTTTTTAGCTTTTCTTGCAAGAAAAGTGCTACCGACTTTTGCCAGGTCCCCCTTTCTGTTACAATGACCCGCAAAGGGTAGTCAATTTTGTGAGTTTTCGAAAAGAACAAGTCAAGGCTAAAGCGTGCGAAAACTCTTGCCGGGGATCTGGGGCTTCAGAAGCTTTCAAAGGCGATAGATAGCTGCAAAAAGCTTAGCCTTGACTTGATAACAAACCAGATAAGCGCAACAGCGTCAGAAAGAGCCGGCCTGTCGTACTACCGTACGTGCACGACGTCTCACACAGGCTAAAAAAGATTGCTCGAGACGCCAACGTTCTTGTTGTTTTTTCAGCACCAGAAAAATTGCAGAAGCTTTGCACACGGGTCAATACACCTCGCGCGAATTCTGCCGCGTGCTCTGTCGCGCACAGGACATGCTTTGTCCCATGCGCAGTGGGAGTCGTATACGTGATTCCACTGACGTGTGGGTGCGTCTATGTCGGCCGAACCGGCAGGTGCATAAACGACCGCCTGCGAGAACACCGAAACAATGTGCGCAATGTGGTACAAGGGCATCTTGGCATTCATTGCCGAGATTGTGGGTGCACCCCCCTCTTTGATCAGTGCTCTATATTGGCAAGGCACAGGGACCAGCTTACCCGAGAAATTATCGAAGCCGAAAAAATACACGTGCTAGGAGATAAATGCGTAAGCACTTCATCGGTTGCTTTATCACAGGCTGAACGTGATTACCTGGCTGGGCTTTGAGGCATTAGAGGACCTGTCACACGTGTTGTTACTGGTGTGTAGATTAGGCTTGTTTTTTTACCTTCATGCTCTATAATCTTCCTTTTTAGACGTATAAAATTCTTGCCACTCTGTGAAATAAAGTTAGTTAGAAGTCAGCGCTCTTTCTGTCTACCCTGTCCTTTTTTCCTTTGTTCGCGCACTGAAACACCTTGCAAATATGTCTAAGGGTGCCATAACTCATATACAAAACCAATCAAATTAGCACAGTTTTTCAGTTTATGCAGCAATATATTTTACTGATACATTAATATTCCGGCCTATTTCTAGTAGCAGTGTTCGTATGTCTGTGTGTGTCAACGTGTATGAGTCTGACATAAGCAGTCTACATGTGCGACTTCTGACTCGCTCAAAGCATGGCTTTTTTTAAGAGTAAGAGCACTCTTAAAAATTTTTAATTCTTCTGCGATGCACAGGTCTTTATACTTTTAGACATGAACACTACCACATGAATTACGAACCACGTTTGCCTGTTTGCTATACACCAACCTGGTGAGGGGCCATATTAGTGAATTTCCAGATTAATAAATAATCTTGCTTAAAACATTGGCGCTTTTATTGTCCCTTTGTGTGCGTGTTATTTGTGTAACCTGGCGTGCGTTGCCATATGCTGTAATAAATAATGGAGCACTACAAACAAGAATTGTGGGAGTAGCCTTATAAGACACCATATGGTATGGTATGGAAAAACTTTATTTTGATCCGTCAGGGAGTGAACTATCACGTAACTGGCCGCTCCCACGTCAGGATAGATGGGCCTAACCTGTCCGCCATGTCGTGGGCCCGTTGGACTGCCCATAGCTGCGTCCTTAAATTCGTACTGCGTAGTGCAGCATCTGACTTTGACGATGTAACTTTTTCAACCCGTAATGCAGGGCCCCACCAGAGCATATGATCTAAGCTGGCAAAGTCTGAGCAAAGCGCGCATGTGTTTGACGTCTGAATTTCCAGGTAAATTTTTTAGAAGAGTGCAAGACACTACAGGCCGCAGCAATTATATTGATATCTTACAATGACTTGAACAGTAATCTCAGAACTCGGTTATAGACCAAATTCATGATGCTTTCTACTCACCAGGCCTTCTGGAGTCTCCCTCTGGTTCGATGGACAGCTGCTGTATCTGCTTCATCACTTGGTTGCGCATAGCTTCAGTGTAGTGGCTGGCTATGTACCTTGGTGGTGTCTCCGTTGTCAGCACAACCACATTTTTGCTGTGATGCAAATATTGATAATAATCATGATGTCGCTCGAAAATACAAAACAGACACACAGAATTACACCACAGGTGCTACTAACAACTTTAATGGAAAAGCGCTGATGCACAACATAGATACGCTGCTCCAAACGCACAGGCACGAAAATGAAATCCAGCAGGCTACAGGGGGCACTAGGCAAAGATAAAACATCAACAGTACGACTGGAAAAACGCATGTTTTGTGGCAAACAAGACAACAGGCGTCTGACTAACACCGATCACTACCATTTCCCTCAATAAAAATGCACTTTTTAAAAGTTCTTTTGCTGTTCTATCTTTACTCCTACCCAGAGTCTGGACATCGCGAAACCTCGTAGCACATGCGCAGGCTTTGCAATGCGCAGAGATGTGCATTTCTGTCCTTGTTCAAATTATTCACGTGCTCCCTGTCACTGACACAGTGACCAGTTTACCTTACGTAGCACTTGCCCCATGACTGAGGCATTTCATACACCACCCCAAAGGCACAACACACGGCTTGGCATGTTTTACATGGCAGCCTTTCAAATAAATGGCTGTCCATGATGCCGAGACACAATTGGGGGAGCCTACTGGGAGCAGGGAGACGATGGGTACACTGTACCTACTAGCAACTTCAAGAAATTTTGGCCAATGTGCGATATATACTATTCACATTCAATTCTAAATTATTAAACAAAAATCCCTATTTGCTTCGAACCTAAAATTCACTATTAGCACAAGCCCAGTGGCATGTGCTAACACTTACCCGTTCATGACTACTTGGCTCAGCATCTCTGCAAGATCAAGAAGCCTGCTTGCCCTCAAGTCACCGATTTCATTTTTTGTCAGCTTCGGGGAATTTTCAAAGCAGAGGTTGCTGAAAAAGTAACAAGTTTAGTTGCTGGGTGATCACAACAACCAGTTGAGCATTTCCGAGCTTGTTTTCTACAATGTTAATCTATTTTCAACGTGTTGCTCTAAAGCGCAGCACTGCACACAACTGACATACATAAAACACCTGATTCCAGGTTCTTCGATGCAGTTTCTATTTCTTCCTTTCAGAATCCGGTTGTCACAACTGAATCTGGAAAACTTGCACTGCTTGAACATAGCGTAGAGTTGGAAGGGACCACAAAGCAGCTCTGTACAACACATTCAAGACATGAAAGTTATAAAGTTTTGAGTGGAAAGAACAGTGCTGAACTATTAGAACTATGCTCCCACTCATACTGATTGTTAGTGTGCTGAATGCAAGAACACTGGCATCAAAAGGACCATTCTTGGCGCATAACAATTATGCAAGGCAATGGTTAGAAGAAAGCAAATGCAGTCTTTTTTTAGCAGCTGAAAATCCACTACATCCAGCACACCTGAAGGTGGTGAGGGCGATAGCGAAAACTTGTGCAGCCCTGTTGCTTGTAAATATTCCTTTTCCCCTATATAATTACAAGTGAGCATCATTTTTCTGGCTATTTCTGGCTTCACCTAATAAAAATGTTTTCAAAATAAAAGGTGGTTTACCATTAAAAAGCTGTGCAGTGATTAATAAAGAACACCAAATTCCCAGTACATCACCCTCGTGCAGTGTCTAGCATCCATGAACTGCCGCATCATGAGCTTGCTCCCGTGCACGAAACATCTCGAAAATGCCAACTCACAGTTTTTCTAGGCATGTACAGCCACGGTCAAATCAAATGCAAACAAAACATTGCAAACTGGAACAGATTCCACAAGTGATAATTTAGGAGTTAAATCTCACACATAATTATGTGGTTGTAAAACACTCTTCGGGCCCGACAGCATGTGTATAACAAAATCTTGTCTACATTAAAGGATGACACACAAATTTTGCACCTCGCTTTTTTTATTATTCTTTGTTATTGTCATTGTTGTTGCAGCAGGTAGCTTATGACCAACTTATCGCGACTGAAAACCTTGCTTGCGTGAGTGCGTAACGCTTATTTATTTAAAGACGTTTTTACAGCACCCAGTCTCAGTTTCAAGGAACCCACAGCTAGGCAGGAGCAGTTCCGGGGGCAACGCAAACACACCTGGTCACATGACCACGCAAAACTGTGACGTGGGCACCGCGCTGAAAGCCAGCACACACAAAGCCGCAGGCACAGAGGAGGAAATCGCAGGTAGCGCAAACGCAAGACGTGTGCCAGCAACAAGGCAACACAAACTCACGACGTAGGTTTGTTTGCACTCTCGCCGTGGTGATGTCGGCGTTGCGAGAGGCTCTGCATCTCGCTCAGCCACGCTGCGTGCACATTAAGGGGAGATGGGGGTCAAAAAACCCAAGTTTTCTATAAAATTATCGATTTTTTTATTTTCCACTGTTTTGTTAAGATTAATACCTCTACTGTTCTGAAAAATATGTATATACCTATGCCAAGACTCAACTGGAAATGCTTCAAAATTGCATTTAAAGAGCACAGGATGGCTGTTAATTAAAAGACCGAAAGTGTGCAGTCTTCGAGCCCCTTGCTACTGATAATGCACCGCCGCTCGTCGATGTTGATCGCGTGAGGCAAAGAAACGAGCCTCACTCTTCATATAATGACGGTTTCCTGTGCTGCTGCAGCGCAAGAAATAATAAAAATAAGTGCTCTTTTGCGGGTTTTTAGAGCGTCACGACTGGCTTTTAAATCACGTGTTACAGATCGGAGACCACCATTTGTTGCTGCACACCTGTGTGTGCTGTGAAGTCTACTTGCAGGGTCCACGTCGTGTCAAGCAGTGCAGCTGAACACCGCTTCTACTGAGTGTTTACCTCCATTATGGATGAAGAACGCTATAGCTCGTGCTGTCAACGTGAAAGACGCTGTGGCGGCGCATTCTGCAGGAATGGGCTACGAGCAGCTGGCCCCATTCGCGGCAACTTTGTTTATAAAAATCATAATGCATCATAAGTCATTCACAGCCATTAGCTGAAAAGTCTGTAATGCAGCAATGAATGCCACCTGCGCCAATCTTGCAAGGTTGAGGAAGCTCACAGTTAGGAAAGTTGGCAGGGATGACACTGCCGTTATGTACTACAGTACATGGCACAAACGCGGCCACACGAGCCACAATAGCATCAGCCCTCCAGTGTCAGCATCAGCAGTCCAGTGTCAAGGGACACAATGTGTCCCTTGACTCTGGACTTTGTTTAGTTTTCGATGCCCTGTCGAACTTCTGCCAGCTTGCAATCAGCACAAGGCTGCCCTGCCAGATGGAGAGAAAGTTCGACAAGCACTTCAAGGCCTTGTCTGTGAATGAACTGTCTGTGACTCATGGTGCTGGTGCACTATAGTGGCAGTGGCCACAATAAAGATTGTTCTTTTTTTTTTGTATGTGTGTCAAAATTTCATCACATTTAATGACAACTTGCATAAATAAACATTCAATTTTAACTCTAAAGCTCGTTTTTCTCAAAACATAAATTTTGCCACTTTTTTCGATGTGCCCCTCCTTTTTCGGGTACTTCTGATGCTCGAATCTACAAGAAATTTCGCTCAATTTTTGTCAAAGTATGAGAAATGCAGTCATCTTGTCTAAATTTCAATATTTTTGTTATATAATAAAAAGTCTGTAAACCTTTACTAGGGCAGGAGAAATAAGGACTTTCCACGTTAAAATTTTTCACGTCTATTAGATATTTTGTATGCACTTCCTAATTAGTTTTCAGCATTCTACACTTTATTTGAAATATTATGAACTATCAATCGTAAAAAATTATGGATAGAGAGATGGGGGGGAAAGGCTTAAGGCTTTCAGTTTGTCATGTTGCAGAACTAAAGATATGCAACTTTCATAAAAACCAGTAATATATTTGAAATCAGCATAAAGCAGTTCAACTTTAATTGCTCTAGGGTGAATATTAAAAAAAAAGTGTCTTCGAGTAGCATGTCCCCTTAAAAGTGATTTTAAATATAAGTTATAGGTCTACAACCAAAAGTCTGGCTGGTTGATGGTTCATGCTTTGGATGTAAAAACAGGGCAAAAATAGAGACAAGGACTGAAGAAGAGCACCCTGTCCTCTCTTCTTCAGTCCATGTCTCTATTTTTGTAGTTTTTACATCAAAAGCATGTTCTAGGTCAGCTTGTGCACATATTCGAATGATACGAATATTCGAGCAAATATTACAGTATACGAATTTGCTTTGAGATGAACAAATAGATGCATATTAGCTGGCACAGAGTCCCTGTGAAGTTGGTTCACACTCTGCTTGATGAAAAAAAAGATTGCGCAGGCCTTGTTTCAATTTTTAAAATATATAGAGCAGATTAGTTAGGTCATGACAAATATGCCCATTTTTTTATTTTATGTGATATATACAGATCATCCCAATTATCACGCAGCATGATTAAAAGAAAAGAGAAACGGCATTACGCGAAGCAAAGCTAGTGCATATTGTTCCCCGTGTACTGTAGTAGCCGCTACTAATGTTTAATGACAATTAAATAATTAGTCATAATGATACTTGTAACTCAAGAAGTACTCACCTAATTGTTAAAATGTCAATGAGGCAGATGTGTGCATTTGAAACAACATCTGTCTGTGCTACTTTCAACAATTTACTAATTGCATGCTCATTTTTTCGTGTTAATAAAAAAAAGCCCACCACGGTACAAGTAAGCAGTACAAGTAACATTCCTTATAACTTCCTCGGCTTCATAATCTCGTTTTCATTAAAGTTGTGTGAAACAAAGAAATGAGCCCTCTAAGTTCCCTTCTTTCACTGAAGTTTTCAGCATCGTAACCTAATAATTTTCGTGACAACTTCTGATAGTAAGCCCAGATCCCCAACTCAAAACAATATCAAAGCCACACCTGTGAGCCTCCTGCAGTGGTGTGAAGCACTGCACATCCCAATCTTCTGGCAAAGGAATTGTGGAAACTGCAATTGTTGAAAGCAAAGTTGATCACACAAAATACAGCCTATGACAGCAGCATGAAGAATGCTCCGAATCCATACCACTCACATTTCTCTTTTGGAAACTCAGCAGGAAGCACAGCGAGCAACCCATTGAGCAGCTTGCAGAACCCATGCCAGACCCTTCAAATAAATAAGTGCCGATGAGTACGCAATGCCTTTTAAAGGAATAACTGCTTAAAAAAATAGTTACATAACTACTTAACAAATTAACTATATAGTTTAATGTTCCATAATTGCACAGTGAATTACAGATTAATTTTTGGCCACCTGGGGTTCTTCCAACAGCACCCCAAGGTGGACCAGCGCTTTTGAATTCGGCCCTCTATAAAATATGGCCAATAGTCAGGATCAAACATAACATATAAGCAACACAAAACAACTATTAATGAAATGTTCAATTTTTTATAATGCTATTAGGTTTTGAGGGACATCTATTTGCTACATCCGGAGCAAAATATTCCAAGATAACTGCAGTCACCATCCTTCAGTTGAACCTTGACAAACATGGGAATGCAGGATTACCAGGCGAGTTTAGCTGTGAAGAGACAGAAGAAAATCACACAAATGCACTGTTCTCTTTTGGGGGCAGTTTCGGGGACAAGGCACTTAGAATGCAGGCAGGCTAATAGTTAAAACACGGCATAACAAAACTTGATTTCATGAAGTTCCCTATCTAATGAAGAAATTTTCATTTTCGGGCATGCAACTACATAATTAAATGTCATTAACCCATACAAACAATGCTAACTTGGAAAATAACCCAATTTAACTTTCTCCTGAAGTAAAAGAGTAAAAATTGGAGCGATTTCATTAGAATTTTTACAGATAGGTTTTCCAAAGTGCACGCTCCAGCACTATTACAATGAAACATCTTGCCACTCTAATTACACTCATTGCTAGACTGTGTACACCACGCTAATGCAAGGAACAATGTACTGAGTGGTCGGTGCAACCCTTTAGTACCAAATTGAGGTAGGGGCCGCAGTAGTTTTGGTCACAGTAACACTATAGTGGTTGCTTTATTACATATTTTGTGGTTTATGTGACAGATGGCACCGATCATCTCATTGTTGCTTTATTACTCTACCTGCTTGCACAATAACTACATTAGTTCTCCTCGTCTTAGCATAATGATGGCCTGTCATAGCGTGATGCGACTAATGTAGCTGTCCTGCATGCCTGGATATAAAGCCTTTCACTTATTTATAGGAGCCCTAGGGCCGCACTGGCAGAGTTTTCACACTCACAGTCAAGGGTTAGCACAACATACAGAGTCAGTGCAGTTTTTGGGTGCCGCTATGGTACAATTTCAGATTCTGGAAAAATTAAAAATTGGTCCTCAATTTCAGTAACTTCCTGATTTAGTCAAATAATTCAAGAATAGCCATCACTTCGCATTGCATTTTAACTGCGTAAGGTTGTGTTTTGGCATTTTAGTTGACAGTACTAGTAAGCTCTTGACAGTACAGAAGGCTCTTGAGGCCTAGAGGCTTCCGTATTCTCAGATCAAACCAGTACTGGCAAGTGTAGTGCGCCACACACAACTTTATGCAGACTTTACAATGCCATACTTACTCATGTAAGGTCCACAGTTTTAATAATTTCTTTGCAAGGTGCGGGCATTATGGCTACTCACCGAAGCTCCGAATTGCACTCTGGGCGTTGGTTGTGCAGAAAAATGACACCACTGGCACCAACTATGAACACATTCACTCAATCACTCACATGGCATCCACGGCCCCTAATGCTATGAGCTTGCTTCAATGGTGTCCTCCCTAAACTTGCAGTCTCCCATGCTGCCCAAACTTGAACATTTCTGTCATCTCAACACAAAACAACAAGTTGGATGTCTGAAATTTTTGCAATGATGACCTGTTTATCTGCCTAAAAGATTGTCCAAGTATTCAGCCATCCTTGCAATCTCAGTTCCAAGTGAGGGGGCCTTTTCCACAGGCTCAAGTGTTGTAAGGGCTCATAAAGAATGCTTACCATTTTAACCACATCAAGCATATATAGTGCATTACAAGAAGTCTCTCCAACTTGCTACAGACTAGTGCAATGCAAATTTGACTAAATTTAAAAAGAGTAATAAAAGGTAATGTTACTTCCTGTTTTGCAATTTTTTAATACTACATACATATTCAACATTGCAAGAAAGTTCATTACTTTACTTGTATTAAGGTCGTGCTCGAAATTTCAATATTTACACGCCCCTGATAATAACTACTTCGGACCCAGATGAAGCCTCCCGACACAGAGCTGAAATAAACAGACGCAATAGAACCACACCTGAAAACTATGAAGCTCAGTTTTTCAAATATATAAGCAACTACATAGTAGAACCAATCAACAATGAATGTAGAAAACTGAACTTCCTTGAACAGCCAGAGCGCTCCGGCAATCTTTGCAGTTTGAAGTAGCATGCCAGGATTTCTCAGCAATTTGGCCGCTTGCAAGATCACACTACTATGTGCAGTTGAAAAGATGTTTCATGCCAGCAGCAATAGCTTTGAATAAAATTGGCCCAGGCTTTTCCCTGTTCTAAGCTTAATACATACACACAAAATCCCAAGAAAGTAAGTGAACAAGAGGAGGTTGTACACCACCACAGAGCACTGCAATTTTCATGCTGATGTGTACTTTGCTCTTGAGTTGCTTTTTCTCCCTTTTCCATTCCTGTTTTACTTAATCAAAATTAAGTTTACAGTAATGTTATCATACAACAATGACTTCCATATTTAATGTAAAAAATCAATACAGTAAAACCTTGTTAATTCAGTCACCAGGACAGCAAAAGATATTTGAATTAAGTAGGTAAATGGGTTTTAGAATTAACGAAACATGCAAAAAGTGGGATGCTAAGAACTTTGAATTATTAAAAGTAGTCAGTGGCAGCCTAGTTTGCTGTGCCAGCTAGTTTGTGGCTCCATGGATTGTGTTTTCCGGGAATACCTGTTCCCAATTTTGCCACAAACACAAAAGGAAATGGAGCACCACAGGAAAAAAAAACATGCTTCACTGCAACATAGTGATGGCACGTGGGCAGCCTGTCACCTGCATCTCACGGCATCAGCGCGTCATGATGCAACCATTCGTTTATTCTTTCTGGTAAAATAAGAACTTAACAATAACATGGGCATGGTCGAGCAGCAGCTATGCAGTCGACTAAGAACCCGTTTTTTCTTCTACTCCAGTTGCTGACGATGCTGGCTTCCGCCCCCTGCAAAGAAGCTCTAACGGACGGCTTTCACCTACCTTCGAAGGGCGCTTCCAACTGGAGCGACACGGCGAGGTTCTCTTCGTGGTGCCTTGCGTCACGGGTGCATGTTGTTCGGGGCGGACCGCCAACGCTTCTGCAGTCTTCTTCTTCGGCTTGGAATCATGCTTGGCAGTGCCCCGTGTTTGATAGCACAACAAGCCTGCCTGTTGTCACTCCGATAATCTCCGAATGCTCATCAGCATCGTCATCACCCAGCCACAAGTTTATAAGCAGCCGTCATCCCCCGCGCGACTTCAGTGGGCATGGTCGAGCAGCAGCTATGCAGTCGACTAAGAACCCGTTTTTTCTTCTACTCCAGTTGCTGACGATGCTGGCTTCCGCCCCCTGCAAAGAAGCTCTAACGGACGGCTTTCACCTACCTTCGAAGGGCGCTTCCAACTGGAGCGACACGGCGAGGTTCTCTTCGTGGTGCCTTGCGTCACGGGTGCATGTTGTTCGGGGCGGACCGCCAACGCTTCTGCAGTCTTCTTCTTCGGCTTGGAATCATGCTTGGCAGTGCCCCGTGTTTGATAGCACAACAAGCCTGCCTGTTGTCACTCCGATAATCTCCGAATGCTCATCAGCATCGTCATCACCCAGCCACAAGTTTATAAGCAGCCGTCATCCCCCGCGCGACTTCAGTGGGCATGGTCGAGCAGCAGCTATGCAGTCGACTAAGAACCCGTTTTTTTCTTCTACTCCAGGTTGGTAAATTTCACTCATGCCACTCTAAAAAGTCAAACAACCTGTGTCTGCTGCTTGTACCATGCCCAAGTGTACTTTTTTTATGTATTTGCGAATGTGTTCATGTTGTGAAACTATTGCTTTTGAGTGGTGACGTCGAATCCAATCCAGGTCCCAATAATTCTTCTAGTCTTCCTGATGAGCTGGCTGAAGTCGTGAAGGCAATTAATGCGCACGTTGACGCACGCCATAAAGAATTAAAAACAGTTCTTGATGAATTGAAGTCCAGTCAGGCGATTTTGGAGCAAACTGTGTCAGATATTAACTCAAGATTGGTTGCTGTAGAAGCTCGTGTAAATTCTTTCGACAAAATGCCTCCAAGTAACCTGCAGCAAACTATAAGTGATACTGTTCGTGGGGCGAACGCTGAATTACGTTCACGCCTAGATGATTTCGAGGATAGGTCACGGCGAGAAAACCTTCTATTCTTCGGAATACCTGATGCTGCAGCCGAAACATGGTCGCAGTCCGAAGATAAGGTTCGCGAGATTATGTCCACTCTAGGTCTCCAACTGCCGACCGATGCCATTTCACGTGCGCATAGGCTTGGTTCATACGCAAATAAGAAGTGCCGTCCTGTAATTGTAAAGCTTTCTAATTTTAAGGTTAAGGAAAGCATTATGGCAAATAAGGCCAAATTAAAAGGTATCGGTGTCAGCTTAAGTGAAGATTTTTGCAAAGAAACTAGGAACACGCGTAAAAAATTGTACGAGTACGGAAAGTCGACTGGTCAACAGTTTGCAGTGCGTTACAACAAGTTATTCATTAACAAAAAATGCTTCGTTTACTGCAGTCAAACCGACAGCGTTTGTGAACTTACCCGTGAATTTACTTCTTCACTTTCCCCTTCAAGTACCAATATTCCTAGCAGTGTTCTTCCCTCTTCCTAGCAATCCCAACCTACTAAACGTGCCGCAACACTTGAACCAGTTTCAGTCTTGTTTACAAATATTAGAAGTGTGCTAAGTAAACGTGACGAGTTATCTTCTATAATTGATGACTGTTCTGCGGACATAGTAGTGTTAACAGAAACTTGGTTGTCAAGTAAAATTCGCAACACTGAGGTTTTACACTGCAAAAACACCTACAATTTTTACAGATCAGATCGTATAACAAGAACAGGGGGCGGTGTTCTTATCGCGATATCAGATAGATTTTCCTCTCATATTGTTCCCATAAGTTCGCCACTAGAAATTGTATGCGCGTGCGTTCGATTTGCGTATCAGGACGTGATTTTGTGCGTTTGCTACCGACCGCCTCGCTGCCCCTCAGACTTTTGCGAAAACTTCCATGACTGTTTGCACGCAGTTTCTGTCAGGTACCCAAATTCTCATATATTTGTCATGGGCGATTTTAATTTCCCAGAAGTTACTTGGGGCAGTGGGGATGGAACGGCTAGCTGTCTTTCAGCGGAAGGTAATTGCTTTTTAAACATATGCAATGATTTTAATTTAACCCAAGTAATCCATGAACCCACGCGCATCACAGCATTTTCTTCAAATATACTTGATTTGGTTTTCACAACTAATCCTTCGGTCATTTCATCGATTCACTACCTACCCGGGCTTAGTGATCATCGCATTGTACACTTCACCTGCGCAATGCAACCACAGCGTCCTACGCACGCAACTAAAGTTATAAAAGATTATGCGAAAGCTGATTATGCATCTATATGTACTGAGTTGGAAGTTTTCACTGAAAAATACATTGCATGTGCCGCTGATAACACTGTAGAGGAGAACTGGGTATCGTTCAAAAATAAGTTTAATTCACTTATAGATTGTTATGTTCCTTTACGAACTGTTCGAACGGCGTTCCGCTCTCCGTGGTTCACATCAGCACTTCTTCGCTTACGTAATAAAAAAAACGACTTTACCGCAGCGCTTCATCATCTGACACCACGGAGAGATGGGCGGCTTATCACAACGCAACATTAGAATACAAAAAAGCTTATGCAGTTGCTAAACATAGTTTCTTCAGCGATACCCTTCCCTCTCTTCTACAGTCTAACCCTCGTAAGTTTTGGTGTCTAGTAAATGGTCCAAAAAATAAGAACATTGATCTTTGTGACGAACTTGGTTTGGCGATTGCAAGTGACAGGTGCTGCGAGGCTTTGCAAGACGTATTTAAAAAATCATTTTCCGTTGACAACTCCAATCATTTACCAATTCAAGCCGATCCTGGATATCCCCGAATGGAACCAATCATCATTGATCAATTGGGGCTATTTCACCTCATATTAAAAATGAAAGCCTCGGCACCTGGCATAGATGGAATCGCTCCCCAATTTCTCAAACAAACTGCCACTTATTGTTCAGTCATTTTTTCACAGCTCTTTTCACAGTCATTACAAAATGCCTCATTGCCCAGTGACTGGAAGGCGGGGAAGGTGGTTCCTGTGCCTAAACCAGGTGACTCATCTAATCCTTCTAACTACAGGCCCATCACTTTGACTAGTATTCCATGTAAGCTTCTCGAACACATAATCTATTCTAACTTAATTATATTTCTCGAAGAAAATAACTTCTTTCACAACAGTCAGCATGGTTTTAGGAAACACTACTCATGTGAAACCCAACTACTTCTCTTCACCAACGACTTATTTTCAGCTTCTGACACTGGCTCCATTATCGATTGCATTTTCCTTGATTTTCAAAAAGCTTTTGACACCGTTTCTCACCGTTTACTCCTACTAAAACTAAGCATGCTAAATATTGACTCAAACACATTACGATGGATCGAATGCTTCTTATCTAACAGAACCCAACATGTAACAGCTAACGATCATGACTCACGCAATTGTTCAGTAATCTCTGGTGTGCCACAAGGTTCTGTCCTTGGACCCTTACTCTTTCTAATTTATATTAATGACCTTCCATCTAGCATTACATCAACAATCAGGCTATTTGCCGACGATTGTGTCATCTACCGCATAATAACTAACTCTCATGATTCATCACTACTTCAATCTGATCTTGACAACATTACATCTTGGTGCTCACTCTGGTCAATGAAACTAAATATTGGCAAGTGCAAAATAATGAGGATCTCTCGAGGAAGTACTGACTGCACTAGCCCTGTTTATTCAATTTCTAATTTTCTGTTGTCGTCTGTCAATACTTACAAATATCTTGGTGTTCACATAGATAACAATTTAACATGGAATAATCATGTCAGTTATGTGATTAACAATGCTAACCGCACTCTCGGCTTCTTGCGCCGTAACTTTTCATTAGCACCTGTTTCATTAAAACTTCTTCTTTATAAAACACTAGTCAGATCTAAACTCGAATACGCCTCATCAATCTGGGATCCTCATTCTTGTTCACTTGTTAATGCACTGGAAGCCATCCAAAATCGCTCAGCTCGCTTCATTGTCGCTAATTACTCCCGTACCGCTAGCATCTCATCAATTAAAAATTCCCTAGACCTTCCTACCCTTTCTAACAGGAGGAAACAGGCCCGACTCTGTCTCTTTCACAAAATTTTTTTTATGAATCCTGAAATAAAGGGCACATTGTTCTCGTCACCTTCTTACGTTTCATCTCGCATCGACCATAACTTCAAAGTCCATGTGCCACTCTGCCATACCAACATATACTTCCACTCCTACGTGCCGAAGACTTCATCCGAATGGAACCACCTTCCTGCCTCCATCGCCAGCAACCCTGATCATGCATCATTCAAGACTGCCATCTCTAACTTGTAACCACTCCTCTCTGTAACGCCGCAAATGGCATTGAGAGTATTTAAATAAATAAATAAATAAAAAATAAATAAATAACCAGTTTGATGGAATTAGTGATGTGTTTTTGACTGGAAAACATGATTACTAAGTTTTCGAACTGAGTTTTTGGAGTAGGTTTTGCAGGCAAGAACTCCGCCAGCAGTGCAAGTGCGCTAGTTGCTGGAGCGACCACTAATCGGAGGTTCGCGTACATCACGAATTCCGTCAGACTGTCCTTTGGTAATTGTTTTACTATTTCCAGAAAGAATGCGCTAACGTGGCAAGAAAAATTAGACATGCTGCATGCGTGTCACTGCTGTATTGCTGCAAAGCATGTCTTTTTTTCCACAGGCACACATTGTCACTAAAAACAAAGCAACCTTTTGTTTCCTGGTGGCCGCAAGGTTGGGATGATTCACCAGTCACACATTAGTATTGCCACCCTGCATTGCTTTTTGGCTCCCAAGGGCTGTCAGTTACACATATTTGGGACGAAATCAGCACGAAAAATCATCGCACGACACAGTGTTTTCAAATTAACTAGGCTGGCACTAACCACCGGTTAGAATTACCTATCCGTTCAAACTTGGGAGCTCCAATTAATGAGGTTTTCCTGTATAAGGAAATGATAAGCAGCAATGATGTAATAGCTTCCTTAACTTTATGCCTGCCCTTTTATAGCTATACATAACTCTTTTAGATGTCACTTCCCATTTGCAGTGAAAAAGATTATTTTCTACAATATGCCACTTAAATAGGCTTAGCAAAGCATATACTACTCTGCTGAATATTTTTGTATTAACTTTATCCTTAATCACAATGTTATGCAACAAACTTTTATTTCAAGATAAAAAGCGGAGAATTCCGCTATAAATACAAGATAAAAAGTGGAGAAATTTGGCTGTAAATACGAATTTGTCTGCATCTATAATATGCTCGGAGAAAAAAAATGCGTCTACAATGTACAAAGTTGGTAGGCCGTCAAATTTTACGAAGCGTTCTACTCTTGCTACCTTCACCAGCTCCAACACAACTTGAAGCTGCAGAGAAAAACTACCTGCCTTCAATCAATCATTGAATGCCATGAAAGTAGCTTCACTCCTGTTTTTGGCTGTCACAGTGCAAGGGCAGCTGAGAGGTAAAAAAAAGGCACTTACTGTGGCTTTCGAATGAAAGGCTCACTGCATAGCAGCTCCTGTTTGTGCAGGAGCCAATCAAGAACCAGCTTTACCACAGGCACACTGCCACAGTCGCGCATATCTCGAGGGTCCTGGAGCGCATGCATGGGCAGCAGGAAAGCATGCAACATGCTTGCTGCAAGATACGAAAATACATACTTCAGTGAAGAAAACAAAAAACAGAAGCTTGATGTGAAAAAAATAATTAAAAAAGCACTGCTAGAGTAAAACGATGATGCCAACGTAAGTTCATAAGAACTATATTACAGAAGGACTTTTTGTTGGGCTAGTTGGTGCACGTTTTGGTGCATATTTAACAGAAAGAATAAGGTGCAAACAAGACGAACACCAGAAGTGACATGAACGAACGCCTAACATCATTAAACCATGGTGATCTACCGTATTTACTTGCGTAATCCTCGCACTCGCATAATTCTCACACCTCCCCCATCGCCCAACAAAAATACGATTTTTTTTGCAAGTAATTATTGCACCCCCGAAAATTGCCGCAGTAATGTCGTCTGCTCGTTCCAGCCACTGAGGATGATAGCAAAAACTATCTGGCACCATCTCTTAAGCATCAAGCATACTATCATTGCACGAAGACTCAATCCAATCCAAGCCAAGCCAAATTTGCAAGTGCACGTTGCAGCGTATTTTATACGTTGTGTACGTAATGTAGTTACTAGGCACTTGCGAATATTCGAATGCTTCGATTATTCGAATGAATAGTACAGTATTTTAATTTGCTTTGATTTGAATTTAAATTATTGAAAATTTCGAAGTGTTCGTAATGAACGAATTGGTGTATAATAATTCACGTGTACCCGCCTATAAAAAAAATCATTTCACTACAGTGTAGGTGTGCTAAACAGTGAAAACACCACTACAAAGGAAATCCACCCTGCCGGGAAGCTTTCTTCAAATTTAATGGGGCTTCCTGCAACACTTTTTGAGCATGGTCAGAAAACGCTGCCTATAGGTAGTCAAGGCTAACGAGAAAACGCAGGCCAAATGTTATAGAACAGCACGTGGCCTGCAATTCACAATAAATCTCAAAGTCAGCTAAAAGAAGTCACACCTTTGCCGCAAAAGTGAAGCAATGAACATGATAGCAACAAATTGGAAGGTCACGCGCAGAATGACAAGCAGATCGGAACATGCCCCGCGTTTCTCATGATAGCTCCCCCCCCCCCCCCCCCCCGAGATGCCCATCGTGAGCAGTGAGTGGTAGATATAAATAGCGTGCCGTTTGAACGTTGAAGGACGAGCTCCTCGGTGGCTCAGTGCTTAACGCCTCGCACTCATGTCTCAGGGGTCCCACGTTCGATTCCGCCCGCCGGAGTCTTTTTCTGCATTATTTTTCTTTCTTGCATTTTCATTTTATATATATATATATATATATATATATATATATATATATATATATATATATATATATGGTGAGTGACGGCGACGCCTATGCCGGCAGCAAAATCCAGTCGAGAGTGTCCATATAATTGCTATCGCAATAAAATTGCTCCCTTCTCTTGGCAAATGATGCCACAAGCTCAAAAATCACTTGTCAAAGTCATTGTATTAGCCATGGACTGATTATAGCATGGCACGCTCAGTTGTTTTTGGGGCCACCAATTCTCCACACGTATGTGCGCATTTGCACTGAAAAGCCGCGTATTCAAAGAAAAAATGAAAGAGAGAATACAATTTTGTCAGGATGAGAAGAGAGAATACAACTGCAGTGTACAACGAATCTTTGCAACTCCGGTCGTAGTGGATGGATTAAAACAAAAAATGTTTGCGGCGGTGAATTCGTGTCGTGAGGCAATAAGTTTCTTTAGTGAATCTATTCCATGGCTACTTGAAAAAGTGTTGCATAGCCCCTTTAAATGAACCTATTACCCTCAAATCAATTCATTTTATTAAGCTTAAAAGCTTGTTATGACAGCTTATATGCTCCATTTATAATAAATTTTAAAGTGTTACGTAATTTAAATGTTATCACTCGCACCCTACCGAAAGTAAAATCCTGCTACTACTCAAAGTTGTTTAGACTTTCTTTGAACAAAAAAAAAAAAGGGCATTTGCATAGAGGCTCTATTTAAATGAAAAAAATATTGTGCAAGTTAGTTAGGCCATGATAAATATGCCCATTTTTCTTTATATGTCATATATAATATTCGAAATCGATTCCAAATTATCCGACCAAAATCAATATTCACTTCGAACCCAAATTCGCTATTCGCACAAGCCTAGTTGTTACGCTATGGGGCGGTATGGAAGCTACACGACTGCTTTCAAGTTGAAAGTGATTGATCATACACTAAACAACGGCATCAGGGCCGTCGGTAGGCCCTTCTGAGCCGACAAGTTTTGTGCTCTCTACTGGCAACGGCAGCTCAAAGCCAACACAACGTTGGGCCTTCCATGTAACGTTGGGCCTTCCATGTGCCTAAGACTGGGATGGATGGTAAACTTTATTTCATCAAAAGGCAACTGTGGGCGCCTTTTGATGGCCATCATCAACTGTGGGCGCCTTTAAATGGCCATCAGCCCAAGGTTGCATTGTACGCTAACCTTTTGCAGGCTCCCGTTTAGTGACGAACTCTAACGTAAGGCACACAATCTCCACAAGCTTTGCGTACGGTATTCTAATTTTATAATATTTACTTGCAGCTTTTGTGTCTCAAATACATCTTGGCGTGTGTTGAACCTGTGGTTTTATTGTTGAGGTTCGTCTCAATTAGTACTTCTCAAAGCTTGCATTTAGTTGTGGCGTGAGAATGCTGATTCGCGGCCACTTCACTTTCTTTTTCGCTCTGTACGTTTTCATGGAAAATTTTCCCTGCGCAATTTTCGCACCTCCGAACTTTTCATTGGTTTTCCATGAAAATAGGTGCAAGCATTATGCGAGTAAATACGGTATATGAATTATATTAAACCATGGTGACAACCTATGTGAACTTCTAGTGCGGACAAAAAAAATTAGCATACAATAAAAAGAATATGTTCCTTTAATGTAACATTCATACATATTGATAGGAAACCAACATGTAATGAAGCCAAGAAAAGTAGGCTTGTGCAAATAGCGAACTTTAGCTTCAAAGCAAATAGTGATTTCGTTCAAATCGAAGAGAATTCGAATAGTATATATTACATGTTATTTAAGATAAATGGACATGATATTTGTGATGACCCATCTAACCTACGCAATATTTTTTAAAATTGAAACAAGGCCTATGCGAATGCTATTCTTTTTGGTTCGATGGAAGCGGGAATCACTAGAACAATATCAGGGTTTGAAGGCTAGTGATGGCCTGAAAAATTGTTACTTTTTTGTTTACTACATTTAGAGCATCTAATCCTGTTTAACAAGCTTTGAAACTTACAAAATGATGAATGAATGTGAGGGAAATATGCTCATTTAACCTTAAATGGGGCCTTGTAACACTGCGGATTTAACCAGGGTAGGTGTTTTCACAGCTTAGCACTTCCGCTGCAATTAAACCACATTTACAGGAGGTTACATGCGAACTAATATATACTTGAACACATGTTTTCCCGTCTTAGCATTTCTCCCCTGCAGTGAAACCACCTTTACAAAGAGTTACATATGGATTACCTAATATACTTATTTGTTCATTTTGGTAGTTTGAAATTTTCAATTATTTAAATTTTAATCAAAGCAAATTTGAATACTGTAATATTCATTTATTTATTTAAAGCATTCAAATAATTTTACAAGCCAAAAGAACAGCAATGTTTTTCTAGTTTTCACTAGTAATAAGAGATTTTCCTAATCTGCAAGTGCATTTCTCTGCTATGCAGTTTGCCCTACTAATAGCAGGTAGCTTCTTGCTAAAAGCAATGAATTCGAGCACAGTTTGTATTGTTCTACGACATGAAAAATGCTGACTCGGCTGGCTTGATATAGGAAGCCAAAGCAACGCGTGGTGGTGCTCCGACTCCGGACAGGCAGCACCATCTTCGATAGAAAAGTAGAAATTGGGGATGTAGATGGCGCGTTTTCCCTTCGCTCCAATGCGCTGCTGCTCGCTTACGTGCTCGTGCAGAGAGCGCGCGCTGCGTTTGAGTCACCTCCCAAGCCTGCAGTGCGGCTTCACAAAGATCTAAGACCTCTGAGCTAGACAAGCACTTCCGAGAAGCGAATCGAACAAAAGGAGTAAAACACGTTAATCAAGTTGATGATGTGGAGCAGACGATGGAAGACAACGGTGCCCGAGTCACTGCAAAATGCATTTCTCGGGTCCTCCAGGATAATACCGTGTACAAAGCTACGTGATAATACCGTGTACGAAGTATGCCTCAAGGTAAGTGTCATTCTGCCAACATGAAGCCAGGTACTCTATTGATGTGCTGTGTTGACGTTTATGGAAAGCATATAATTGTTGTTTTGATGTGGTATCTAGCAGTAGCAGCCGCGTACTGTCATGTGCAAACGTTTGCAGAGTGTTGAAAAAATAAATAAAAACTAAAGGTATAGGGCCATGGCATTAAAATGTCAGAGATGTTTTAGAGTCATATACTCAGTGCCGTGCATGACCCGCTGACGCCGCCGCAAAGCAGCAAGCTAAGTTTAACCACAGCGAGTCAAGTTGAAGTGCTTGCTTTTTTTTTTCCAGCTCTTGTGTCATGCTCGCTTTATCTTTCCTGAATGCGGCTGTGACTAGATGGGAAACTGATACAGCTTTACACATGGAGGGCGTCCCTTGGTGTTTCCTGCATTGTTGTGGCAGCCCACAACACAACACTCCGGACCACGGCGACGCTTCCGTGGGGCCGCTTCTTCCATCGTGGAAAGGCAACTTTGCACAGCGAGCATCTCGTTCTAGCGCGCCAAGCTGACGGCATGGCGCCCAAGTTCCACACACCGACTGCAGAACACGCTGCGTGCGGGTCGCACACGCTCCCAATTCGGCAAAACACACTCACTCGCCTGGGACCTCTCCCGCCCCTTTTCTCAAGTGTTCCGGAGCTCGCCGCCAGGGCCCGGCGCGGCATTGTCATCACTCCGCAAACTTGAGCTTCGGTTCCCTATAGACACGGATAATAGACAAGCCCCAGCACGTGCAACTAGGACCTCGTTTCCAGTTGAAGCACCACCTATACCGCCATTAGTAGGGCAAATATGGATCGTAAAAAAGCCCACTTGCCGATTAAAAAAGTCTCCTAGATGTAGTTGCCAATTCACGGACTGCTAATAACAGATAGTGTCGAACCCAGTCACCTTTATGTTATCTCACAGTTCATTTTCATAAATAAGGTTGGTACTTTTTTGTGCCTGTCACACAGAGATTGATAACACGCATACATTGCAAAACTGCAACAGTTGTGGAGGAAAACAATGTGGCTGCTATTTCAAGCTGGTTCGTGGATGACCTGCTACTTTAGTGGTCCATAATCTTGAAAAAGCCATAAGCGCCCCTACAACCCTCCCCCTGTTCCCTTAGTGAAAGCACCCTTACAACCCCTAGCAGCATCAACACGAAAGGTGTTGGCACCCCTCCAAGCGCAATCTTCCATGCTCAAATAATTTACCCATTCTATCCCCCTCCTAACTCAGTGGTCACAAATCAACTGCACCATGCACTACCATGGCATCTCAGATCGGAAATGTGTGTTGCCAAGAAGTTTGCATGTTAAAGAAGAGAGTGGTACTGACCAGGACTGGCAGAAGGAAAGAATAACACACAATGAAAAACAAGCCCTGTATATATTTTCTGTAATTCACCATCATCATCAGCCTGACTACGCCCTCTACAGAAGAAAAGCCTCTGCCATATTCCGAAACTCAACTCTGTCCTGTGCTTGCTGCTGCCACTTTATACCTGCCAACTTCCTAATCTCATCTGCCCACTTAACTTTCTGTCTCCCCTTTACCCGCTTGCCTCCTTTTGAAATACAGTCTGTGATCCTTAATGACCAGCGGTTATATAGCCTTTTCGCTGCGTGCCCTGCCCTTGACCATATCTTCTTCTTGATTTCGACTATGATGTCCTTAAGATCCGTTTGTTCTTTGAAACACTTTGCTCTCTTCTTGTCTCTTGAGGTTACATCTATCATTTTCCTGTCTATCGCTCGCTGCGTAGTCCTCAACTTAAGTTGAAACCTCTTTGTAATTCTCCAAGTTTCTGCTCTGTAGGTAAGTACTGGTAAGATGCAGCTGTTATATATCTTCCTCTTGAGGGATAGTCGCAATCTACCATTCATGATTTCAGAATGTTTGATGAATGTGCTCCACCCCATTCTTATTCTCCTAATTACTTCAATCTCGTGGTTCAGCTCCGTGGTTACTACTCGCCCTAAGTAATTTTTGTAATTAAATAGTACCAAATCTTAAGCTTCCGCTTTGCCTATAAAAGCATCATTGATGCATCCGGATGGCAAGCGGTAATTTTGCCAGGGCACTTTATTGCTTATTTAGATTACCAAAAAATCACTGAGACTCCAGTAAAACAAAGCTGTCTTTTACGTATACTTCGAAAATGTGTCATTAGATGAAATGCAAAGTTTACCACGCCATAGAAAGTGCCTTCAGATGCCCGACTCTGTCGCCAAGTTGAAAAGTACGATTAAAGTGACACATTATTCGATCCAAGATGTAAATGTGCTATTTGCGCTAGGAAAAAAGCGATGAATGATGGTGTGACTTTTTAAAATTTTTATTCAGGTAGTGTCACTTATTTGCTTGTAGAAAAAAAGTGAGGGAGCATGTGAAAAGGAGTATACTCACACTCCTGAATTTTAACATGATTTCCGCCCTACTACAGAAGAATTGACAGAGCAATCTGCCTTTCGCATGTTTGAAGTGCACCTGCACCGCATCCTAGTGGTGAGCACCGGAAACATTCTGTGCAGCTAAGGCGGTTCGTGGAGCAGATGACGCACACTTTGGAATGTGCATGTGACCTGCAGGAAGGTCAGCTGACGAAGCCAGCGTGACACAAGCCAGCTGACGGACAACCAGCTGGGCTTTTTCAGCACATAAAGAATGAACTCCCTCCTCAAGAAGTGGTTCAATAAACAATTCTCCAGTTTCCAAATTCAGTGACTTCCTGGCAAAGCGAGCAGCACAGCTTTTAGTGAACACAGTGGCACACACCGACTAGGTCGAGTAGGAGGTGCTGGGCAGTCTTGCGTGGCGGGCCAGCTGTGCTGCTAGGGTCGGTTGGGCTGGGTGCCCGTGCTCTGCAGTGCTGCTGGCTGAACATGCAGATGGCCACCATCTGCAGCAGCTGCCATGTGTCCAGCTTCTCCACCATCACCAGTGCTGGAAGGCTGCTCGTCAGAGAGGCCAGCACAGCTTCGGCTCGGCTTATTTCTGCACAAGACAGGCAATGCATCTCATGTACAAACTCGAGAACAAGTTTCATAGTTTCAGTTTCTTTTTTCTCAGCATACATACAAATATACACATACTTAGTTTTATGAAAGCTGATTGCCTTTATAGCACTAAATACTTTGCTGTCAGAAAGAACAAACAGTTAGACATATAATCCAATGCATAACTTAATTATTATAATGTTATGTTCTTAGAATGCTGCATATTTTAACATAATTATATCTGGGGTTTAAAGTCCCAAAACCCCAATATGATTATAAGAGATGATGTAGGGGAGGACACCGTCTGGTGTGTTTTCGCTTGCACTGACATCGCACAGTACATGAGCCTCTATTATTTCACCTTCGTCAAAATGCGACCACCACGACCAGGATCCAATCCATAGCCTAAATACTTTCACATGAATACCCACAATTTCAAATAATTGCGAATAGATATGCTCAAATATCCAGTGTTTGCATAAAGCATGGATATTTCGATTTACTGCCACAGCACAGAAATTGAAATTATTGTAGGCACACGTCGTGAAAAGGTTAAATTACGCACCTGTGTTAATGTGAAATTGTCTACGTGCACACAATCATGTACGATATAACTGACAGACAGACCTCTATACTAAACAATGTGCGCATTCAGACTGGATGTTATTATTTTGAGGAGCTTTGAGAATAAGGCAGGAGATGCACCGGCTATTTTCACCTAGGGAGGTGACAACAACTCTAGGGCATATTGACCAGAAGTTCTCTTAGTTGTAGCACTGATGCTGCCAGAACACTTCTTGCTGTTCCATACAACTTGGATGGTCACATTTTAAAGTGGCTTCCTTCCTTTGTACAGCATTAATGTATCAGCTATAATGAAATGCAGCACATTGGAGCAATCATAGCAGTATTGCCATCAGTGAGCATGTCATAAAAAATATCACACTAAATCAAACAACTATGAGCATCAAGATATACTACGACAATAATAATAACATTAGGTAGTCTCAAAACCACAATATAATTACAAGGCATGCTATAGTGCAGGGCTCCGGAAATATGGACTATTGGGTGTCCAGATATATTAAAGGGACTCTGCAGATCTTTCCCAAGAAACCATTGAATCACTTCCTAAAAAGAGTATTTCTTCAAGAATCAAGAGCTGCAAAAATTTTCAAAATTCATGAAGTACTATAGTATAGTTCCAGAAATTTCTTGCATGCGTCAGCCACTTTCTCTCATTTAGCCCCAGCAGGTGCACTGAAAGCTGCACAAGGGAGTTGTTGACAAGGGCACAAGAAGCCACTACTGGTCATCAGCACGCATCGTGACTTTGAACATTTCATTTCTTCTTCTTCTTCTTTGAATGCACTGCTTACATTCAGTGTTTGTGAGAGCGCCAGTGTAATTCTATACTGTGTGTGTGGAGTATGGGCACGTCCCAACATCTTGCGGCAACTATGTAGTTCACAATGCTCGAATCAGTCAATAGCCGAGTACTTTGTGTCAACAATGCGGTGATCTTGGATTATGGCATCAAATTGGATTATATGGCATCAACGAGCGATTTACAGTTGACTATATATTTAATTGAAAATTCCACACAGCATGCCGCGCTGTAATGTTTGGCTCGCATGTTCTCAGGAGCCTCAACTACCGGCTGTACATCTGGGGGAGGGAGTAGCTGATGCGTGCTGCCGTACTGCATACCTGTGACATTGGTGTTTTAGGTTGTTATACTTGCATACGTATACTGTAAAACCTCGTTAATTTGAAATCTGTTATTTCAAAATACCACTTAATTCAAAGGCTTTCTGCGGTCCCGTACTTTGCAATATAAGTTTGAGTGGATAATTTGTAGCAGTTGTCAACATTAGTCCGGTTAATTCAAAAACTTAGAGTATCAAGTGCAGATTCCCGCTCCCGATTTCCCTGCAAATCCGCTGAAACTGCGGCCCTCAGAAGCCACAAGCCAGTGCGATATAGTGATACTAATGAGTGACAGATAAAACACCCAAGCCACGCTCCTGCCAGTGCAAAGAAAAAAAAAAAGGGGGGGGGGGGGGGGGGGGGGGGGGTCTTGCAATCGATTTAAATGTGCATCTGTGGAAAATAAGACATGCTTCACTACACTACAGAGGTGACACGCAGGCAGCACGTCGCGTGCCTGCAGCACCATCAGCGCACCATGATTTACCAACTCTTTATAGGAATATAAATAACTTAACAAACACCAGTTTGATGTAATTTGCGATGTATGCGAGCTTCCGTTTGGCGGTTGCTCCAAAAATTTGCACACTTGCACTGCTGGCAGAGTTCCTGCCTGTAACGACTACTTCGAAAACTTCAATGATCAAGTTTTTCAGCCAAAACACACAGAAAATTCTGTCACACTGGCCGTTACTGAATTCTTTATTATACTAGAAAGAATGGGCAAATGGTCGCATCATGACGCGCTGACACTGCGAGGAGCACGTGATGTGCTGCCTGTGTACCACAACTGTATTGCAGAAAAGCACAGCTTCTTTTTTGCAGGCGCACATTTTAGCTAGCCGACCACGACTTTTTTTTTTTTTTTTTTTTTTTTTTGCTGGCAGCAGCGGTGCCCGCGGTTCACCTATGTTTGTGGCCGAATTGGGCCCAGGTATTGCTGGAAAACATAACCCCTGGAGCTGCGAACTAGCCAGCACAGCAAACAACCCCCTATAATTACTTCCAATAATTCAATGCTCCTTGCATCCCACTTTTTCTGTTTCATTAATTCAAAACCCACTAAATTAATTAAAGATTTTTCACAGTCTCAGTGACTTCAAATTAACAAGGTTTTACAGTATATGCATCATTTTGATAATGAATTCAGTCAGATCTTTGTGCCCGTCCGAGCTTCATCTGTTTAAAAAATTGTGTGCAAGAAGTAGGTTAGCATGGAGTAAAGATATTGATAGGCAGTGTTTTCTGACCATGCTGAAAAAGTGTTGCTGGGCCTCTTTAACCCTTTGAGGTTTTTCGCCATATATGAACAGGGGCAGTTTACCATCTCGCAAAGTTTCTCGAAATGGTTTCAGGCCTCCGTTAAAATTTCACGCCATGACAACGATGCGTGCTCACTAGGTAGTGCTGCCACTTCCTAGGACTTGCAAGAATTGTTTAAAATTTGAATGTGGTACCTTTGCATGGAGATAAACAGAACTGATTTTTAACTACACGATACTCTGCAGTGGGTAGCACGTATGTGTGGGTAGCACGTATATAGGCCCTAACACTGCTGCTCATAAATGAAAACATGTCTTGTATGAAGGCATGCAAAACTATTATGAATATTACTAATGTTATTCTAGGAAGGCATTGAGTGCAGCGAGTCGCCCCAAATTCCAAATTTTCAGTTTGCATGAGCACTTCATTATACAGTACTTGCAGAAACACTAACATACTATATACTAGTATGTATGTAGAGAAGTCTGACCCACACATACACGAAGTGAAGGCCCTTAAGTAGACATTGACAGAGACAATTGTGCTCATGCACACCACAGTTTAGATATCCATGTCTAAATGAATAAGCAAAAAAAGCATATGCGGGTATTACCTGTGTGAAGATATATGTGTGCATGAAACTGAAGAAATGCTGTAGTGTACTCATACGGTGACATTTTCGTCTTGCCAATGGATGTAACACTGTAAAACAAAGTACAAGTCTTGATCAGGACAAACTTGAGTTGTGAAGATATGCTTTGACCAGTAGTGTCACCAAATGGTTACCACTACAAAACAGCTACTGTCGCAAGTCTTCCTTAAGGCGACCAATGCATGCCTGACATAAGAGGCAGAAAAACACAAGTTATGACTACAAGCTTTGATCACCAAGCAGACTGGCTATTTCAATAGAAAGGCATAGATGCATAAGCACTGACTTCAAATGGTGCTCGCAGTATGTCGCAGCAATGTGCCCGGTCTTTGCACAGTTCAACAGGCAAAATATGTGGGCATGCTTCTATTTGTTTCACCTACAGACAAATATGTAGTCTATGAATGCAGACACATGGACTTTTTGAAAAGCCTTGTTTATGTTTATTTCTTTTTCCTAAAAGCAATGATATCACAGAAATCCCATGCACCATGAGATTAGGTGCAACCGAAGTTTTTGCGACTAGCCTGCTAAAGTGGCCAGCTGAGCACTGCTACATCATGCCCAGGCTGTCTCCACTCCACTGCTGCGACCTGAAAGTGCCGCTAGTTGTGCCAACCAATCCACACACATTACTTTTATCTCCCCTTTACCCTTCAGAAAGCCACCCTCTTCTTTGAGGTTAAATCCCATTACTGAACACAACACCTAAGCTATGAGACAGCATTAAAAAAGTTTTGCTTTTCGTAGTGGAGCACGGTCACTGACAAAGATCAACATCCACCTGACGCAAAGAAAGCTTTGGTTTTTGATTGCTCACTCACCTGTCAGACACCATTTTTGAGTAAAGCTTGGAAAGGTTTGTGGCAGCTGCTGGGAAAGGGTGCAGCAGTGCAAGACTGCGCACGTGAAAAAACACTGCAGAGAGTTTCTCCCCACTAGCTGCTTCCAAAAGGGCAAGCTGGTTGTAAGGATGCCCTGGAAAGACAAGGCAAGGCCCATTAATAAAATAATTGTGAAGGTTTTACATCGCTAAACCATGTTTTGATTATGAGAGACCCTATAGTGAAGGGCCCTGAAAATCCAGAAGCACACGGGCCTTTAGCATTTTGCCTCCACTGAAATGCAGCCACTGTGGCTGAGATTCGATCCACCGACCTTCAGTTTAGCGGTAAAGCCCCATAACCCACAAGATCATCATGGGGAGTTATGGCAGAGCCCTTTAACCACAGAAAAAAAAAAGAAGGCCAGTTGGGTAAAAATCATGCACAGACAAAATGAAATATACATGCTAAGTGTGCCATTATAGAAAAAAGTAGAGACAAGGCTTCTTTCCAAGCCATTTCCTAGGACCATCTTCAAGTCTTTGTTCAAGAGTGGAACAGGGTACAATGGTTTGGAAGCAGTCCTGGGAGAAAACCGCCTTTTGTAGCAGGCTAGGAGCACCCAGAAAGACATTTCGGAGCAGGCTTGGAGCACCCAAGAAGGCTTTTTCGAGCAAGTTTGGAGCAGTCAGAGAGAACATTCACAGCACATGTTGCCCCATTTCAGAGCACATCTGAAGCAACATTTGTCCAATGCTGTGTTTTCTTCAAACACTAAGCTAAATTGTGCAATAGACTTATTGCCATTGCAATATGGACACTCTCGACGGGTTTTGCCGTCATGTACCACATAAAGTCCAAATTGATAACATGCCCCCCACCTATCATATAAGGTAGCAGTTCTACACACGGTTAAAAACATAAAAACAATCAGTTTCACCACAAGCAATGAATGCGATAACTATAATTTGTAATGTTATACGAAGTAATGCTGGCAGCTAACTCTCTTGAATTCGATATTGCGTAACTCTACAAAATGCTGGTATAGAGAAAACTGCAGCACCAGGGAGAGACGCTCTTTTTGCACAGTCTCTGTTAATAGCACAGTGCGCAGAATGGTCTATGAGCTGTCGCATTAATACACGCCGAGATAAATCCGAAACGCTACAATCAAGGTTTACAGCTGCTGCTTGAGTGATCATTGCCTTGACGAAATCATGACTTAAGTCGAACACGGTTATATCGAACCCACATATATCGAATTTTCGGGTATATCGAACTCCCAAGTTTTCCCCTTGAAATTCCTCTGTAAAGTATAAAAATTTGCATGTTTATATCGAACAGTATTTTTACCCCCCTTTGAATATATCGAACGCCGCGCGAGTTGGAAGGTGCGCTTGAGCACTTGCCCCCTCCCCCCCCCCCCCCCCGCCCCCCCCCCCCCCCGCAACCTTCGCGGCAGCGCGGCTCCGCGTGCGAGTTGGAAGGCGTGCTTCTTTTAGCACTCGCAGCAGTGCCCAGCAACCTCCGCGCAGTACCACGCCTCCGCTAAAACTCAAAACGCTCGAAAAAAGATAAGGGCGAGAGGGCTCGGACTGCGCAATCTCCAGCTTGCAGAATGACTTTTTCTTTTCATTTCTCTTTCTTTCTCTCATGCTTTCTCCGCGTTTGCATCGGCTCGGAGAGCAGGAAGGAAAGAGCGGACGTCCTCCTCCTTTCGCCCTTTCTTATATTTTTTGTTGCTGTTTTGCGAGGTTTGATCAGCCAATCACAGCTCGCGCCTTCTGCTGTTGCCCTCGCAGGTAGCCATCGCCTCGCGAGCGCTCTGTTGCTCTCATGCTTTGTCACTCTCGAGTTGTCGCGTCGCCTAGGTACCACCGCATGTGCAGCATTTCTCTTTTGCATGCATGGTGTGCAAAGCCGCTGCAGACTCCCTTCTGGTGTAGCTATGGCCAGCATCAAGAAGCGCAAGACCCTTGACTTTGCGACGAAGTTGAAGGCCATTGAGCATGTTGAGGCAGGTGACAAATGTTCGACCGTCGCGGACGACTTCAGGATACCACAGAACACTTCGAGTACCTTGTTGAGAAACAAGGCAAATATCAAGGCATAGGCTGCAGGGTAGCGAATGTCGGGAGCCTGTCTTGTGCACGCTTCTGCCCACGGGAATGTAGAAAATGCTCTCTATGCCTGGTTTTTAGAAGTGCGCGCGAAGAACAATCTGGTGAATGGCCCGATGCTGATCGCCAAGGCTAAATGGTTTGCTGCTGTACTCGGTGAAACAACTTCGCCTACAACAGAGGGTGGCTTCACCGATTTAGGCAGTGCTATAACATCGTTAGCAAACCGTTTTTGGTGAAAGCGAAGCTCTCAGCAGCCAGGACATCCAGCAGTAGATGACGAAAAAATGGCCGTAAATCTCGGCAAAGTTTTCTCCCCTGAAGATCTTCAATGCCTGGCGAGACGTGAAGACGAACACAGCAGTCAACTGCTTGCGCAAGACAGGCTTCAAGATGACAGAACTTGCCGAAACCGGTGAAGGTGACGACGAGCGCATAGACGATGCCTTTCGCAAGTTGTGATAAGATTGAGACTAGCGTCTTCAACATTTCAGAAACGAAGAAGTAGGCCAAGGTTAGCAATTTTTTTTTCACGCAAATAAATTATTCTGTTGTGGCGTGTGTGCGAAATTAGAAGTCATTCTTGAATACACCTATTGTAGTTGATGATCCGCTACAGGTAAGCTCTCAGGGCCTCTATTTTTTTATATCGAATTTTTCATTTATTGAACTGATTCGCGATCACCTTCGAGTTCGATATATGCGTGTTTAACTGTATAACCATTTCGATGAAACCGAGAACACAATGTCACAGACAGGTTTTTGGCCACAGGAATTGACGGCTGTCGCACCTTGCGGCTAAATTCAGGAGATACGGAGCAGCACAATGCTGATAAATGAATGATTGATATGTGGGGTTTAGAGTCTCAAAACCACCATATGATTATGAGAGATGCCGTATGAAGGGAAATTTCGACCACAAGGGGTTCATTGACGTACACCCAAATCTTGACACACGGGCATACAACATTTTCGCCTCCATCGAAAATGCAGCCGCCACAGCCGGGATTGATCCCCCGACCTGCGAGTCAGCAGCCAAGTACCTTAGCCACTAGACCAATGCGACGAGACGACACTGATAATAGAGTTTGGGGCCACAGAGGTGGTTTGGTGCAGGTAAACAAGTTTGGCGCACAATGGTGCAAATAGTGCAGCTGGTCCACCTCTGCTTCGTTGCTTTAGGTGGTGCTTCCGCTTTGTAGCACATATGACAAGTCACATGCACTATGCAATCGGAGAGGCCATAGATTACGAATGTTTGCTAGTACTACAAATGTTGCCACAATCTTAGCTGTAATCGGCTACAGTAAATCAAAGTGCAGTTATCACCAACCCTGCCAGCATTGTGAGGACAAAATGGATATACACTAAAACCTCAATATAACGAACCTGGATATAACGAAATGTCGGTTATAACGAAGTAAATGTAAAATAGTCTTGCAATAAATTCGTGTTAAGAATATACCTTTATAACAAATTTTCGGATATAATGATCTTATTTTTCTGTAAGATGCAGCTTTGTAATAATGATATTTGAGTGTATGTATACAACAGTGAATTCAACTGTGTGTGGTATGAATCAGGCTGACTTGTACTTTGGTAACTTTAACATCAAGATAGCACCAAAACTGACCAAGTTTCTGTTAGCATTGTGCTCAGTTCCATAGAATGAAAGAGGTAGCTTGCATCATGCTTCACACAGTGTGAAAGCATTAAAGCTGCATCTCTCGCTAATCCTAATGCAAACATTTTGAACTATACTAAACATCTCCAATGCAGTCTAGTCCCTATACCACAAAACTAACAGAATACATGAAAACATTTGTAATCGCAAAATTTTATTGGATTGAAATTTTATTCAGAGGCAACACAAATTTAAAAAGTTTGATTTTTGCCTTGTCCAGTGGTCTATGCAATCGATGATTGATATGTGGGGTTTAACGTCCCAAAACCACCATATGATTATGAGAGACGCCGTAGTGGAGGGCTCCGGAAATTTTGACCACCTGGGGTTCTTTAACGTGCACCCAAATCTGAGCACACGGGCCTACAACATTTCCGCCTCCATCGGAAATGCAGCCGCCGCAGCCGGGATTTGAACCCGCGACCTGCGGGTCAGCAGCCGAGTACCTTAGCCACTAGACCACCACGGCGGGGCAATGGTCTATGCAATCGTACACACTATTATTGGCATCAAACACTGGTTAATTTGGACACAGTGCACCGTATAATAAGCACAGCAAATATGTAATGCAAAAGCTGCTATAATGGCCAGCCAGAACAAAATGCTGGAGCCTGCATTGCATTAGAGAGTTTAAGTTTAGCGTGCGCAAGGTGGTACGTGCGCAACCGCTAGCACGCAACGTACGTTACAGCTGAGGCTGCTTCTAACAGTATTAGTTTAGTGTACGCGACAACAGACACATGGACTGTGCCTAGGCGTCAACACAGTCTTGGAGTGCTACTTGGGGCCACCTAATGACTAGGCAATAAACTACAATAGCCAATCATAGTTGACACGAGTCAAGACATGAGACATGAACCTGCGGAGATTCCAGGCATTGAAAGGCATCCCCGTCAGCTCCTGTATTTTCACAGCGATAACTGTCCATTGCATGGGGTGCGCGAATAGATTTAAGCTCCTCACGTAAGCGAGGAGCTCCAAATCGAGCGCAATCGGAAAATGCACGCGGGATTTACTCGCAGCCATGACTGCACTACTGCTTGTGCTGCTGTTGGTCGCGGCCATCTTGGTTTTTGTGCTCTCACCAGGGGGAGATGTCGCGAGAGCCACTGCTAAGGTACCCAACGGCTGCAGCGAGCGCAACGTGAGAGCCAAAATCTAGTGTATGCATCCCTCGCGCACTCAAATGCACGCATCTCTCTTACCATCTCCAGAATTTCTAGACATAACATGTCGCACCATCTGTCAGCGGCAGCCGGTCGCTCCACCTTAACTGAACGGAAAGCGTACGAAAAAAAAAAAAAAAAAAAAAGATATCTCACAAACTAGACACAATATTGAAAACGACTT